AATTCCACAGCCTCACAGCATTAACAAAAAATAGCCGAGATGATGGCAAATAGGAAAATTTAGGGATAATCAGATTTTGATGCCTACAAGACTTAGGTAATTCTAACTTCTCGTGAAGATATTTCGGTGTTTTGAATTGTATGAGCTTGTAAATATATATACAGTTTCTGGCCGAAAGATATTCAAAAATGCTGCAGCCAAGAATTTTGTTTTTCCAGAAAGAGATGTGGTCATATTTTTTGTGGCCATAAACGTAACGCGTAAAATTATTGAACGCAACATCAATTTTGTGATATGAAGTAGAATCAAGTTCACTATGCCCAAGCTCAGAGTACGTAATGTGTGGTACAATGAGTTGAATTGCTAGCTTTCTTCTAGTCTAAAGGCGTAAACGAAGCTGACATTCTCAATCTACGTAAAACAAAATACACATTACTAACAACTTTATTAATATGGTCAGAGCAGCTCAACATAGAGTTAACATCGAAGCCTAAGTTTCTAACTTTGTCAGTAAACGTAAGGACACTATTATCTACAAACATTTTTGGAATATCCTCAACATGTACAACATTGTTACTAATGGGTAACACATATGACTTCGCAGCATTTACGCAAAGACAATTATCACGGGACCATTGCGATATTGCAGACAAGTCACTATTTATTTTATAACGCAAATCCTCAACAAGATCGACACGGCTAGACAAATACAATTGAATTTCGTCAGCATAGGCATGGACATTAACATACTGACAAACAGAAAATACATCATTGACAAAAAGACTAAACAAAAGGGGACCAAGCACGGAGCCTTGCGGCACACCGGAGGCAACAATACAGGATTTTGATGACGCAGATTTGCACATCACCTTTTGACTTCTTCCCTCAAGGTAGCTGGTCATAAGTTTAACAGAGCTATCGGAGAATCCAAAGTAATATTTAAGCTTTGTACAAAGCAGGTCATGATTTACTAAATCAAACGCCTTAGTAAAATCAAGAAGGCAGAGAAGAGTTAAGTCACCTTTGTCAAACTGTATTCTTATGTCGTCAAGTATTTTTAAAGTAGCTGTAGAGCAGCTATGCTTTGGTCTAAATCCTCACTGCAACGGAGATAAAAGATTATTTTCTTGGACGAATGATGAAATTTGCTCTGCCATCAAAGACTCACACACTTTTGAGAATACTGGCAAAATGCTAATTGGCCTGTAGCCACTAGGTTCAGAGGCGGTATTCTTTTTAGCGACAGGAAGTAGCTGTAGAGCAGCTATGCTTTGGTCTAAATCCTGACTGCAACGGAGATAAAAGATTATTTTCTTGGACGAATGATGAAATTTGCTCTGCCATCAAAGACTCACACACTTTTGAGAATACTGGCAAAATGCTAATTGGCCTGTAGCCACTAGGTTCAGAGGCGGTATTCTTTTTAGCGACAGGAATAATCACAGCTTTTTTCCACTCCGTTTGAAAACACGAAGTTGTGAAGCAGTGATTGATTATATGTGTAAGAGTTCCTAGAATGAATTGCAGAACAAGTTTCACAAACTTCAAGGATATACCATCCTCACCAATAGCATTAGACTTGACGCTCATAATTGACTTCATAACTTCTGCTTCTGTAACTCCATTAAATTGAAACTTTTCTCTCAGTGCAAAATTGCTATTGAGGTTTTGAGCTAGAGAACTTTCGCGGCTTTTGCAGGCGCCAATAAAATATTCATTTAGAATGTTAGGGTCAATTTTACACTCAGTTTTATGTTTTCCATGCACATTAAGGCTTCCCAAATTGCACCATAGGTCTTTTGATGGTAGTGATGGGTTCAACTTGGAGTTACAATACAACCGTTTCGCTTGTCTTGCAATGGTGGTAGCTTTATTTCGGGCAAGTTTGTATTGCGACCAAGCGAGGTCCGTGTTGGTTCTTTTCCATTTCGCATATAATCTATTACGAGCTTTTATAGCTGATCTGACATTACTATTATACCACGGACAAGAGTTATTCAAAACGCGAACAGTACGAAGAGGAACATGGGCATCAAATAATTCAGACATAGTTTTATTTAAAAAGTCAAGTTTGGCATATACCGACTCAACAAACCAACATGCATCCCAGTCAACATTTGACAGATCATTAACATTTACAGACTTAAAATCACGATACATAGAAGTAACACTATCAGCAGGACAATTAAACGTTACATCTAGTGCACAAAATATTAGGTCGTGGTCGGAGATAAAACTTATTTGGTCAAATTTAAGAATATGGTCGAGGCTTGACGTGATAATGAGGTCTAACAAACTAGGACATGAATTGTGCGCAAATCTTGTTGGTATGAATTTGTTAACTACAGCAAGACCTGCAGCAGATACATGATCCAGTAGTTTATTGGCATATGAGTCATTCATAAGCAAATTGACATTGAAGTCACCACATATAACAAAACGCTCATACTCAATAATAAACAAAGACACCTCAACAAAAAACGAATCTAACATGCAACATCTATGAGGGTTGTATACACAGGACACTAGT